ATGAATAAAGTATCTATCTATCTATCTATCTATCTATCTATCTATCTATCTATCTATCTATCTATCTATCTATCTATCTATCTATCTATCTTTCAGTTGTAGCCCCAATGTGATGAAATGGCCATTAAGCAATGAAACACCCAGAGCTGGTACAAATGAGTTGAAAAAACAGGGCGATAATTGGAAATAACTGAAAATAACTTTGGGAAGAAGCAGTGAGTTAAAAACAGGAAGCATACTGGGAAAAGCAGCTTGTACCTGTTGTACACTGATATTATGGTGCCTTAACATTGCTCAATATGCAGGATTAATGCAGAATATATGTGATTTTTGGATTATTTCAGCATAGCTGTAGGATTAGATGTTTGGGCTAATGTATTGTTTGGAGGATTTAGGCTTTGACGCACTGACACACATGAAAGTATCCAAACAATATAGCTGCTGGTTATAAAGAGATAAGTGCAGTTGATTTATCTGGGACAAGGCCAGATTAATGCATTCATAACAAATGTGTCGTCATTTTCGCTGTTTTGCTCAGTGTGTATTAACCAATGAGATCAATGACCAGGGTTTGATGTGGGTTTGTTTTGTCACAGCAGGCGATAATGAAATGTTTGGTTTTGACATCTGTATTTTTCCCAGACTCTTAGTAGTCTCCTGACACTTGTTGCACTTTGAAATAGTTCCTTTATTATAACGTATAGTTCACTGTAGTGAAATATGAATATATAACTGGAACAGGCACAATGTCCTGATAAATGATAAAAGCAAACATTCAAATTGATGTTTTGATTTGTTTTGATACAATACAATGTGATACATTATGATATGTTAGAAAAGGATATCATACGATACATCTGACAGTACAGTACAATACAGAAAGGTGTGATGGTAGATGAAATTTCCTCCTGTTGTTGTTATCCTGTTATACAGCTTGTCTAAATAATAATCAGAAATCTTCAAAATAATTTATATCAGTATACTAGAGAATGTAGTAGTAAGAATAACACTACTCTGTAATACAAGCTATTTCGAGGTGATAGTAGGGCTGCAACAATTACTTTCATTAGCTATTAATCTTTCAATTATAATTCTGTTTGATAGTTTAACGTATAACATGTCAGAATATTGTGAAAATGTATTACAATTTTCCACAAGCCTCAGAAAAATTGCTGCAAAACAGAAACATACTCAATTTACTCTGACATAGAACAAAGAAAAGAACCAAATTATCAAATGTGAGAAGCTGGAGACAGTGGTAATAATCTCCTGTACACACATGATATCACGATGCTTTCATCACCGGCAATAGGCAGGATTAAATGCTGCTTCTGAATGATTTTTGGCATAGCATCAGGATTACCTTTTCAGGATGAAATAGGATAAATAAACTGGTGAACAGGGCAGTGTCTGCACAAATTCCTGGAGGACGTGATGCTAACATGTTTGTTACTCTGTTTTGTTTCTCTCCAGACCTCCCAAGTTTCTCAGAACCTCACATTCCTCTAGTGGCTCGTGAGATCATGCAGCGAATGATCCGCCAGTTCGCTGCCGAATATACCTCAAAAACTACTCAGGACGACTCGCCCCTGCCCAACGGCACCATGAAGGACCAAAGCCTGCCGAGAGTGGCGTCTCTGGCCCCGGCCCCATGCTCCCCACCTGGGCCCCTGCGCGTGCCGAGCTCCCCTCCATCGTCTGCCTCCTCCTCTCCATCCCCGACCCCAGGGCCGGGCCTCAGCCCCACCTCCGCCGCTGCTGCCTCAGCATCTGCCTGCAGCAACGGTACGGGAGCCAGTAATGGTGGAGGAGGTACAGCTGCTGCCTCTGCACAGAATCCCGTCCTCAGCAAGCTTCTCATGGCCGACCAGGACGGCCCACTGGACCTCTCCGTCAAAAAGAACCAGGACGACCCAGAGCCCAGCCAACAGGGTAAGAGCAACAACACACAAAGAAACTCTTTTCTGCCACCTATGAAGACATTATGTTGGCTTTCATTAATTCCTTCTATAATCAGACTTACCCTATAACCTACATATGACCACATCTAACCCAACCTTTATAGCTTCTAACCTTGAAGCTAAAAGAAAGCTGTAACCCTAAAATATATCAATAACTTCTTGGCACCAGCCTGTTGTCCCCAGATAGGGCAGTCCCCACAATGTGACTATGTAAACAGAGTTCCCAAATTGCCATTAATTCAGATATTACCACACACATGTTAATCAGGAGCATTTCAACAACATTTAATCCTTTGCAATTAAAGCATTTGTGCATTTAGCAGTTGTGTGGTGTTCCATCTGAATTCAGATTTGGCTACTGTTTGTTATTGGTGGTAAAAAAAAATAATAATAATAAAAAAACACATATATAACAATGATATCTAGCAAACAATCATGTAAATATATGTATATTTATATATATATGAAAGGATAAATGAAAAATAAAATCAACACACAAAAATCTGAAAAAAAATACTGTAAATTTTGAGCTAATGTCTCTTTTAAACTGCGATTATCCTGCATTTTTGTGTTTTTCTTTCTCATTATTTCTCTTATTGACCGCAAATGTTAGTAAAAGCCCCACCTTCTTTCTTCTGTTTGGCCGACTTTGCCTAGAGGCAGCACCCAGTGCTTGTGACCTAGCTTGGACAATCGCGATACTGGCTCATATTTTATGTAGAAAATATTTTAGGGTTTTCCCCCTGATGTCCCCGAGCTGCTTTACTTCAGTGATTTACAGAGTTTTCCTGATGGAAATATAGCTTTACTTGTTGTCAACATTAGCCGTAGCTACTACTTAGTAGATACAGATTGCTAATTGGTACTAATTGTAGCCGTTAGCTGTGCAACTAACTTTAGTCTTCCCTATAGCTGACTGTGCCTGAAGTGGCAGCTCAGAGGAGAGTGTTGGTGTTTACATTTTATAGTAACATTACAGGAGCTTTGGACCGCTGGTGCCCCAAGCTCACAGCAGCAGTAAGCGATTAGCGGCTAAATGAGCCGGCCGCTCCGTTAACAACATGTTATCAGTAAACTCTTTAAATCACAGAGAGTTGAGGCAGAGAAGCTGAAGGACATCAAATGGAAAACCATAAAATATGTAACTTTTATTCTCAACCAAAGTATTTTCTGTGAGACTTGCGGTCGAACTAAACTGAGTGGGAAGATGGCCATGTCCCGAATGTTTGTAGGGATGCTCGGCCATTCCCTGCTTGGAGTGGATGACAATATTGAGAGTATTTGACACTTTGGCCGCATTTAATATAAACATCCAACATTGTAACATTATATATATATCACAGAAAAGGGATAGCATAGGCCATCATTATCAGATGTTAAAACTAATTCTTAATAAATGTTTTATCACCTTGACATTGTTAAAAGACAGATGACTGCACGCACAGACAGATTTTCTAAACATAGAGACACATACAGATTGGGCTCATGAACAGCTCACTGAAAAGCCATCATCTTTTGGATTGAGTCTTTGCAACACTACTGAGCTCTGAAATGTAGCTTGGGGCTCAATCACGTTTAATCAAACTAAACCAGCAGGGGGTCTGCATTTCGATCACCGAACAAGCTGCAGGGTTGAAGCGACAGCTCGCTGTTCCATCCCTCAACCACAGTGTGACTGGTCACCCACTTTAATACCAGCTTTTTGGAATCTGCTTACAGTAAGCCTCCTTAATTTTTACAAAAAAGATTTAGGCGTTTACATCCACCTCATGCATTATCTCTCTCTTTCTCACACACACAAGTGAACACTGAACACCATTTAAACGACATTCTGAGTCAGATTATCCGCAAAGCTGGATCATGTACACACACGCACGCACTTGTTTAAATTACACAGTAGAAGTAATTTCTGGAAAAATTCAGTTCCTAAAGCTCTACTCATCGATATTAAGAATGAATCAAATGATGAACCCACAGGGCTCCGCAGCTCTACTGAGTTTTTTAGTCTCTTTTAGCTCAAAATATTGTATTATGGCACACGTTTATTGTCTATATAATGCTTATGTAGATGTAGATGCTAATTTTGTTATTCATTAGCTCAGAGAAGGACCTCTTTAGTGTAACTAGCGTGTAATTTATCACAGTTGTTATCCCTGGACATTTTGTGACTCAAGTGTGTTTTGATTCATTTTGGAGTCAAAATTCTGTGTACACACAAGCTCCTTTGCTCCTACACATGTGTATACTGTATATACACACACATACTACCATTAATATGACCAGATTAATCATTTTTCTGTCTCCTCTGGGCTGTACAGAGACTCTGTTCTTCATTTTAATTCCATCCTATGTTTTTTGTCAGATTAAACAACAAAAAGCCCCTGAAGATTAGCGAGTACTGTGCACATATAGGGTTGTGAGGGTTAGAGGGGTCAGAAGGTCAGTAGCCTGACTCAGTAAAGTACAAGTAGGCTGTGGATATAAGCCTGCCATTGGTCGATTATTTCAGTTGGAGTTCTCCTCCCCTTTCGCTATTTCCGTGTTACCTTTTTGCAAGTGCACTGCAGCCTCATCCCGGGCTTGGCGCCACCCAAGATGATTGTGATTGGTTTAAAGAAATACCAGGATGATAATGGGCTCAGCCAGACCTTTTCTATCTAAAGTGGAGAGAAGGTCAGCTGCACTCCAGGGATTACACCAGCAAAGAGAGAGAAACACAGTGTGTTAATGAATTTATTGGGATATGTTTGCATTTTTGTGAGTGCACTGTATGTTCAATTTCAGCAAAGCAATAATTAACTCGTAAAAAAAAAGGTTTTGAAAGAAGAACTGGGCCATCTTTTTTGGACTTAATTTTTATAAAATATTTTTCTAAGCAGATTTCTCCCCACACATACCCCACACAATGGTACATCTTTTCCTCTGCATGTGGTGACCTGATTTGCCTTGACAAACACATAGATTTCACACACAGCATGTTGCCATATTTCCCAGACTTTCTTGCTAAAATATCCTCCTATTCTGAAAAAAAAACAGAAGTCATTTTCATATGCAGACTTACACATAGGCAGGAAGTTGCAGAAGCTGTTAACATGCATTGGATGCCAATTATTTTCACTAATGAACAGTACAAACAGATTGACAGCAGTGATCTCTCGCTGTGGGGTTACGTTTGTACCAAGGTTTAACGCCAGTAAATGCATAGCACCATCCATTTTCAACTTTTCATACCATTCATTAGTGAAAAACAAAAGAAATATAAACCTTTATCAATTTCAGGCTTAAATGAACAACTTCCCACCCATTCCAGGTTTAACCCCCGCCCATTCTGAGTACAGATACGACTACAGATAATTATATAAAATAAATAGTTGGTTGAACAGATACAAATAATGGTATATTCGCCCATCCCTAATCACTATAACCTTAGCCTCTCAATCATTTACTATGGAATAGTCAAGTTTCCTTTGAAATTCTGCACATCTGAGCTGAATTTCCAGAAAGAAAGAAAATGCTAATTAATGCAGTGTCCATCCACTAAACAATCCTTAAACAAATAAAAAACAGCATAGAAAACATGATAGAAATATGACATTTGTGTTTGTTTCATGCATTAATTTGAGGAACATTATAGCCCACATACCTGTTGGTTTCGTCTGCCACAGTTTTTAGTCTCTCCAGGTCAAGTCAAGTCACACGCTTCATGTACGACATGATTTATTCACTAAGCCTGTTTCCATTGCACTTTGTCACATTTTGCTTTCATCTATATACCAACTTATACGCCTCAGCCAAGCGTAAACCTCTTTAGAATTTCAGCCGTTTAAATTTCAATTTTTGTTTTAAATGTGCAAATTAAAAATGTATATAAACACATCTGGATGGCAATACACTTATTGTCAGTATTTGATCTTTGTGAACTGTGTTTTTTACAAGTCCCCCGCAGTAATGCTTTGGGTAGGATTTTAACACAGCAGTATTATTTATTTTTCCTGTGTGATTTTTATTTTTACTCAGATGGCGTCCTGGACCTCTCCACCAAGAAAAACCTCAGTGCAGGAAGCCACAAAACCTTCCCCGGCATCTCCCATGCGCCTGGGGTCAAAGGGTAAGACAACAGGATTAGTCAAACTGGCCTTTGTTAGCAGAGCAGCACAGTCATGTGTCTAAAACAACACTGGAGAGGTTAAAGCAGTGCACTGATGTGTTTCTGCACTGCACTTCCCAGAGAGCACTTGTCAGTCTAACACTAAATCCTCAATTGAGATTGGGCCTGAGGTATCCAGATGCCAAACCACAGTCAAGCTTGTTTTTAGCCAACAAAGATTGATTTCACAAGAAGATGACAACCATCACAGGCAGATTTCAATATGTCTATGCTTTTTTCCTTGTAAAATACTGGATAGTTTTACCATTTCCCCCCTCTATAAACTCGAAATAAAATAAAACAAGCTAAGAAGAGAATCTATGATGACAAATGCATCTGTAAAAAAGACTTGATGGACGTTGAAGGAAGCTGCAGCCAAAAATTTACTGAAGATGAAACATTTTCCAGTAATAGTATGAATTGTAGTTGAAATATAGCCAGTGATGCATGATGTCCAATTTAGTAGACTGATGATAAATATCTTTCCAATGTATAACATTTTAATAATTATGTTACTCCTTAGTTGTTTCTTACTGTTACCAAATGTTATTTACCTACTATAGAAAGATTGGCAATATATGTATGAGGTAATCGGCTTTTCTGGCCTTCCATTAGCCATCTTGGTTTTCAGAAATGTTTGTTGCACTCACAGCTGGCCAGTGGGTGGCAGGGTATGGGATGACACACTAGTGTCCACTGTGGTGGCTGATGTACAACTATACAATTAAAACCTTGCATATACCATGCATCCATGCATATGCAAGAAAACAGTCCAGTGTAGTGGCCACCACCGCTGGACTGACCATCGGCCCACTGGGCATTTGCTGGGCCTTTTTATTTATTTATTTTTTTACTAATGGTACTAGTAGTAGCTATTAGTAATGGTATTAGTCATGATACCTATTGGTACACAAAACTGGTAGATCGGCCAATTAGTCATGGTTCTGGGCTGGACCAATTACAGCCGAGGGCCGATGCCTCCTCCCCCTTGGGCCTCTGCTGTCAATCAATCATCATACAGAGAGAGAGATCACGAAAATGGAGAACAGCAAGAAGCGGAAAGGAGACGCGGAAAAAATTAGAGCTAAAAAGAGACAAGCACTTCAGGAAGATGCTGCCGAATGTGTTAAAATAACACAGATGTTTGCTGATCCTGGAGCTGAGTCTTGCATCTAGTGTCCGTGATGTGCAGCCTTCTCTTTGTTTTGCCAAGACACCGACTTTTCCCACGGGTGTTTTTAGTTTCCTAATGAATGACGGTGCGTCAGTTTAACTGCTGCGCTAGAAGCTGAAAGTGAAACTTAGGTCTATGTGCTCCGGTCACTTTCTGTCGGTCTAGGTTATATTTTTTTTATATATATTTTTTTGTCCCAGTCCAGCCCTGGTGGCCACTGAGCATGAAAGGGTTTTAAACAAGGTATTCGAGTCTGACATTCTCACAGCACATGAATGCATCACAGTAACAACAGCAGACAACAATTTCAGCACAACCACAGAGCAGCTTGTAAAAGACTTGAAGAGAATGTGGTAAATGGTAGAAAGCATCCAGAGAAACCAGTAAGCTCCTTGAAAATATTCATAAAAGATGCCTGAAGGAAAGACGAGAAAAATCGTGAATCCACCGCTGTGTGGCAGTTAAACCACCCAACAGATGGACAATACACTACATTTATATGCATGGTGTTTACCTCTGCTCATGCCTTAAAAATGCAATATGTTTAGATACTGCACTTTCTTTTCTGTGGATTTTATGCTAATGATATTTTACTCTCTGCAAGTGTTTATTCTAAACTAAACTAAACTGAAAGTGTAAAACCATTTGAACCCATCAGCATTAAGCTTTTATTGTACTATAATATAGTACAATTTTATTGTATGGGTTTATTCACAATTGTGTTAGAATGTAGTCCAATAGTCAGACTCTCTATTATAAAATTCCCAGCTGTTTTTAAGATGTCAAACCTTTGAAGGAATACTAGCAGCTCTGCTGCTGTCTTTTCTCCCCATTGTGCAGTACATTGTTCACATTCCGTCACTCTAGTTATATCTTTCATTAGTCTTTAAAAGGCTCGAAACAACCAGTTAGTGGTTGGAGTTTTGACTGTGTGGGAACAGCAAAGCGAAGCTCTACTCTATAATTTAGACTCCTCCCACATCCACCCCCTTACCCCAGAGTGAGAGTTCAATGGCTGAACATGTCAAATGCATGACAGAGGCTTTGACTACTTTCCTCTTTTCGTCTACAAGTCAGTGCGTGTATTGACAATCCTCAGCGTTGCAGCCCAATCATGTATTGATGAACATATATCATTGATACCTTGAAGTCATGTTTGAATCAGTAGCTATCATACTCTATTCTTGCATCGAGAGGGAATAAGCAATCAACGCAAATTGCAGTTGCCATTTCCAGGAATACTTTTGATCTGTAGGTCAAAGATGCATTAGAAGAGGTCCAATACACATAGCAGCCCCAAACACTGGGTTGAGGTGAGGCTGCAGTGGTGGAGGATGTGGGCAAACCTGCACCCACCGTGTGGGCAGCGTCTGATTGATCCAGCAGTGAATACACCTCCAATTACTTCCTGAACTGAGATTTGAGAAGTGTTGCATTAATATTACAGTTAACGTAAGTCCTAAGTGGTTACCACATGAGTTGTTCTTCCTGGTGAAGGCTAGTGCTGCCTAGATACAAAGATACCAAACAAAGTCAGTATTTATCACACTAGTTTTAGAGAGAAACGAACATGATGAAAATTAGCAGTGAAGCAACAGCAGTGACTTTACAGGACTGTAAAATTTAATCAGAATAGATCTCAGCTAGTGAGTTCAGTGTTGAAAGACCTAATTTGTAATAAACCTGATATTTGCTGTTACAAGGATAATTCAGAACTCTCTTTAGTAAGAGTGAGAGAAGAGCAGGATTTCTTAAAAATGTGCAATGTTTTACTTGTTGCCGTTGAAGTGAGAGCACTACTTTTTGGTTCAGAGTTCCCAGGAATCGTCAGTTCCCAGGAAAATTAAGTCTCCATTTGGGTCACAGTGACAGTAAGAAAAACCTCTTGGAATATGCTCAGCAAAATTATTTCTACAGACACACAAGCTTTCTTTTTTACTCTTAACACAACAAGATATTGCCTGCTGATATCCTCCACAAGTGCGGGCCCAGCAGGCTAACCTTGGCATGGTGAAGTATTTCCACAATAGGACAAAAAGAAAAATTAGAAACTGCACCTGAAGCCCCTCAGGACAGAACTCTAACTCCCACCTGAGGGTCCTTAGGCCCCAAAGGCCCTAAGGCCCCAAGCCTCACCGGGACTCTCCAATGATCAGCTCATGTAATATTAACAGCACGAGAAGGTGTAGTTCCACCCCCACTAACACCATTAATCTTGGACAGTCAGACAATCCCAAAAGCACACACCAGGTTTGTGTGTGCGTTACAGGTTACTGGCCTTAAATCTGTTTATGACCACATAACCTCGGAGTTAGTTTGTACATTATATTATTATTTAGATATTTTATTGAGGTTAGTTGTTTGTTTTATAATTTTATGTAATTATGTATTGTAATTCATAATTTGTATACATTTTATATATTTGTATGTATTGTTTCTTTTTATTGTCTATATTTTATCTTTATTTATATTTTGTATGTTTATTGTTGTTGTTATTCTGATCATTTAACTGTTATTAAGTAGGTTGTTCACAAGGCATTTAGAAACTACATACTGAAAAACAAGTTAGTTAAAATTAGTTTTAATGTCTGATTATGGTCCAATTGATTATTGATTTTCCACAAAGAAAAATAAATGTGAAAAATTCAATAAAATAATGGCTGCAGGATAAAACTACCTTGCTTTTTAAAACCATTTGAGCCTCACAATATTGTTAAGGGAACACAGGTCATTCACCAGGATGCTGAAACAATAACTATGCTTAATTTCTTTGCTCCTTTTATTTTCACAAGTGTATGCTCACATTGAATCCTCAGATCCACCATTACTGTCTGGCACAACCTCCCTGATGACTGTATGCTTACTGTAACAGAACGCTCTATTAGAGTGTAGACTCCAAAGCCTCTCGTTAACCCTGTATTGTTTTCAACGCGCCTGAGACCGCCCACTGTGGTAATCTGTCTTAAAGCTCCTGCTGTGGACTCCCTACATTGCACTACAGTTGCACTGTAGCTCACCAGAATATGTCTCCAATGGAGAGATAACAGTATTTCCCTCAAGTTTCTTCTCCCCTATGCTATCCACTCACTTGACAAGCTATTTCCTGTTATTTTGACCCTTAGGGACCATTTCTTCAAAGAGCCTTTTCACTGTTGCTATAGTTACTTAGCAGTAAGAACATTGGCTTCAGCAGTTCAAGTGGAGACACTTTGCATGTAAGCATATGTTTCATCAGCAGAGAGACGGTTTCCAGAAATTGGAAACATAGAAATGTGAGTTGCTTGAAGACCAGTGCTTGTTGACAAAAAGACGTACTGTAATTTCAGTTCAAGGGAACTTTATTCATCCAAAATGGAAACAATCATTAAAAAACAAGACATAGGAAACTTGCCACGGGACAGGTTAATACAGGTTTTGGCATGAGACTGTTAAAAGCAAAGCAATGTTTACGCTCTTAAAGGTTGTGTGATTTCATGTGTTCAGATGTTAACAGTTAAATCAAGAAGGGATGCTGCCTTCTTGGTTTGTTTTATTCTTGGATTGTTAAATTTAAAGGGCATGAAAAGGTAAAATTATGCATTATTTCACAATAAAAATGCTAAGACTAGTCAGAAAAAGAAGCATGATTGTATGTAGTGCAAAGTGCTTTTACTCGCTATTCTTTCGCAGTTAAATATTTTCCTGAATAATGGTCTAAAGTTTAGTCTGAAAGCTGTGGATGTGTATTTTGTGTGAAGTTAGTTAGAAGTAGTTGCACCTGTGGGTTACTGGGTCCCCTGAACACATCCAGATTGTCTTTAAAATTGGTCATTACCAATTTTAGCTTCAGTAGATGGATAGGTCCGAGATAATTGCATGGGTGATAAAATCTTTTCCAAAACCTTTCAAAAATTAAAACATAATGACTCTCACATCAGTGTGCTACCTCACTTTGAATGCAGTTATAGTCACTGCAAAATATTGTTGATGTTTAATAATGAACTGCTAAAAAAAACAACTTGTTTGCAATTGTTTTGTCAAATTGTAAGTCTACTAATGTTCTGCTTGCAAAAAAGGAAGACTGATGTACTAGGATTTACTAAGCAGGGCTGTGTGGGCATTTATAGCTTCATGATACGGTAAATTGTCAAGTCACGCAAGTCACAAAATGTATTGTATTTTCCCATTTACCCTGAGTGGTGCAAATTGTTTCCATTAAGGAACAAAAATTAGAAAGCTGTTGACAGTGAGGTCTGTGGTTTATCTTAAAATTCTGATTCTGGCAAAAGATGGTGCTGTTGAGTTTTCAAATGTAATTTATTGGTGGTTTTGTTATGTCTCTAAATAATGATTTGGCAACCTTTCCCGCCATTCATAGAATGATAAAAAGTTAGTTAAATGATTAGAACTTTAATTTGGAGCAACACATTACAGATAATTTTAAATTAGAAAATGCAATATGCATCAAACCCCAGTCTCAAGAATCAGTTCTGGCTTATAACGAGATCCCTGACTAAATTGGCTTTTTTTTGTCTCCATCCAGACGTTCCCTCAAAGTGGAACAGACCCTGCCAGAGGTGGATGAGGAGGATGGCCTGCTGCAGAGAAGCTTGCAGGACGGACTAAGGGAGAACTACGTCAACTCCAACTCTTTCAAGCCCCCACTGGCCCGCTCACTGCGAATCAAGGAAGAACTCCTCAGCCAGAAGCACCGCCTCCTGAGCCAGCCTGCTGCTCTTTCACTGGCTAATTTAGAGTCAGCTGGCTTGCTCAATCACGGGCAGTCCCACTCCTTGCTTGGCCAAAAGGGCTCTCCCTCTTTCTGGGGAAGCAAGGCCCACCTCGACAGCCTGCTGAAGCTAAAGCAGGCCAGTGGAGCTCTGAGCGGGGCCCTCAGCGACCTCAAAGACCTGCCTACATTCCTGGAGAATCACCACCACGGAGCCTTCTCTTTCAAGAGTTCCCTCCACCATCACAATCAGGTCTCCAAGGCCCAGCACCACCACAATGAGGGCAAGAGAGACCAGGGCCACTCACCTCCAGTCGACCTAAAGATTCCTCAAGTTCGAGGCATGGATCTCTCCTGGGACTCCCATGCCTCTGAGCTGTACGGCTATGGTGGCATGGGGGTTGGGAGTGGTGGGCATGGGGAGAACAGCCTGAGCCGGAAGCTGAGAGCCATCCTGCCCAAGCAGAACCGCCGGGGAGGGAGCCTTGGAAGCCTGCTGGATGGGGCATCTGACTACTGGAGCTCTGACTTAGACCACTCAAGTTCCGGGCCAGCATACTCCACCTCCGACGTGGAAGGGGACCCAAACTCCAAGCAGCCGAGGAAGAAGAGGGGCCGTTATCGCCAGTACAACAGCGAGATACTGGAAGAGGCCATAGCAGTAGTGATGAGTGGGAAGATGAGCGTGTCCAAGGCTCAGAACATGTACGGGATCCCACACAGCACCTTGGAGTACAAGGTCAAGGAGCGCATGGGAACCCTGAAGAATCCCCCAAAGAAGAAGCTCAAGCTGATGATGAAAATGGAAGCTGGAGGCCAGGATTTTCCTGCCGAGTCGGAGAACACGCCCACCACAACCCCAAGAGATGACGGCCAGCCGCTGGCAGCTGCTGAGCTCAAGGACAATGTAAAAGAAGAGATCGATGACAATTTCAAACCAATCGACTAAACAACTTACACATGTAAACCTCAGTCAAATGACTAAAGTAATTTGAAAACGGATGGGGCTTTATTTGTGCCAATTTACTTTGCAGTATCTGGGTGAGCACAAACGCAGGGATAATATGAGGAGGATTCGTAAAACAAACTGGAGATAAACGACTAATCGGATGGTTTTTAACAAGCATCGCTTGAGCAGTGCTGTATAAGCATTTGTTTAGCTTTTATGTCCAGGGGCTTAACAAATGCAGCTAAAGACATTAGTTAAATGACAATTAATGAAATTTCCATAAGCATGCTGATACTCCTCAGCCCAAAATACCCAATCCTCTTTTCTGAACTTGATACACTGAACCGTTGCTGCTTATAAATGCAGTTTGGATTCTGGACCAGTCCAATTTGGGGGGGGAATGAGGGGAAGGTTGAAAATTAAGTCCTTAAAAAACTGATAAATTAGTCCCTTTACTGCTCCCCTCTCTCATGGAGTACTAGCTGAAAATTGGTAAGTGAACTGTCTACTATGTTTGAAGCCAACTGTAAGGTTTAATCATACCATTGATATTCCTCACCAGGGTTCTGAATCAAAACCCATTCTCTTATTGCCAGGTAGCCATGACGCTTTAACTGCAAACCTTTTCTTTCCTCCTTAAGATATTCTGCTAATCTTTGTGCGGACGAAAGAAACATTAACCCGTCCTTTTTGAATGAGAAAAGACACACAAAAGTCATTCAGGGATGCATGTTTGTGAGTTTCGTGGACACTACTGACTTCTATAATTGACATCTTTTCCTCTATCTTTTCATTTGTTTTGTTTTGCTTTCTTTTGCACTACACTTTGGGTCTGGCGCTTACAGACCAGGTTACCTCGGCATTGTTGCCCTTGCATCATGCACTTATTATGGTCTGTCTCTGAAGCCCAGTCGCAACCTCGCAACGGGTCGGAGGTGCACATCGCCTGTGTATGCTGATCCACAATCAGATCCCAGGAAGTTCTAAAACTCTCTTTTTAGCCAAGGGACAAGTTGAGGGGTAATCTGATTGTGGATTAGCTGTTTTTAAGGCGGAATGCTACCTCATGGACCTCTATCAGTGTCTCACTGCTGATCCTGGAATGCTAGAGCTACCTTCAGGTTGTCCTCCAAATGCTAACCGAAGTGAGCTCATCCCCTCATGGAGATCTTTATTGGATGAAGGCCTTTTAGGATCAGAATGTGAAACTCTGCTGCTATCCAGTTGATTATCTAGCTCCTATTAAGCTAGCCTTAGCTAACAACAACACATTGCTGATGGTTTTCTTTTCCTTTTCTAATTAAACTAAGCAGAAACGAATTAACTGATGAGTTTTAAAAGAAATTCTCCTCCCTCAAACTTTAAAGACAGTTTTAAAGGCAGTTTACTACAACAATGTGCATTTATAGAGGGTTGTTCATTTTGGGATGGTGGGTGGGCAATATGCAGTGGGGAGGGGTAGTTAATAGAGGCGAGGGAAAGGCAGATTTAATATATTATAAATTATTATGACTGATGATTTAAAGCCAATCCGTGATTCTGGATGATTTCTTTTCTCCTCATTTTTAACTCAGGGTAACTGAGACAGATGTTGTGGGTTTTTAAATATGGTCATTTCCTGTTGGACCTATAGTAGACAGACAGGAGGACACTTCTCACTAATGCTTTGTCTACGGAAGGGGGCCATATGAGTAAAAATGGCAGCGCCATAGCAGATATACCTGCTAATGAATCATGATAAATGACAGAAAACACTGACGTTGGGTTTGGGGGTTGAACTCAAGGCGCTAAACTTCTAAAATCGCACTTTTCAAAAATAAGAGAAAAACGAGATAAAGGAAGCTGTTTAAGGTTATGCATGTAGTGTAGCTCTTCTCTGGGGGATATGGAACAGGGAGCGATGAAGAGGGCAAAGAGATGGAAGAAAAAAGCTTTAGTGTGTGAAGACTTTCAGAAAGCTGCAGCTTGGACCCAAACTACTCTTTTTTTCCTTCTTGATTACCTCCACCATAAAAAAAAAAGAAAAAAAGAAAAAAAATGGTCGACAGCTTGAACAAGTTGAGTTTTGTGTTGTGTCGTCTCGTCGCTTTCCCTCCCCTCGCCGCTGAAGCACCAGGGATAGAAAAACTATCATCACGTTTTAACAGGCGGGGAAAGAATATCCCTCAGGGGACACAGGTGGAAAGAGAAAAAAAATGCTCTTTTGGTATTTTCCATCAGGAAAAGATTGAAGGAGATGACAAAAGCTTTTTGTTTGTCATGTTTTGTTGTTTTTTTGCTCTGTGGTAAATGTTGTTCTTCGCTCCTAACACTGCCTGGTGCTCACCCAGTCTGTGAGATTTTTAACACGAGAATTGTACCTCTCTGTTCAGATGAAATGATGACGATTCACTCCTTTTGAAATGTATTGTACATTTTATTTATTTGATTTGTTTTTTCTTTGATTACGCTCTTAAAAATGGCATGCACCACTTTTTTTGGGGGCTGATTTTGGGGGTTGGGCCAACTGAATATTTTATGATGAGAGGATTTCACAAGTCAACACAATTAATCCTGAGCCAGAGAAGCTCGAACTCCCACTAAATTATGAATGAATTAGAATCTTATTAAAATTAGAATCACTTACTACCTGTTGCATACAATCTTAATTTTCCCCTCTGTGGTGATTGGCTACCATTTGTAGCCCCCCTGGCTTGATTGGCAGGTTTGAATGGCCAGTGGGAAAAGCTCTAGAAAGACTCCTGGAACAACAGTATTTCCAGGGGTCGTCATGCATTAAATGCGTCCAACACTTTGACAATGCTGAGCATTTGAAGTGTCTAAAAGGTTGCTGTGCGCGTTGAGTTGGACCCAGCGAAGGACAATGCACTGATCTAATAGTTAAAACAGGATCGAAGTTCCAGTGTCGCTAGTAAAGCACTTCTTATAAACACGCCTGTGATGATAGCTGCTTACTTATCCAGCTGTGAATACAGTTTGACAAAACACAACTTACAGTGTGTCCGCTCCCTCTAAAATAACAGAACAGAACAAAGTCATGGCACTCTGCCTGTTAGCCTGTTTCATGTAATGCATGTAAAGCGTGGATTTGTGCTAATAAGGAAAGAAAATCTATGTGTAAAAATTATGTAATTGGCACTTAACGCACAGGTTTGCATGGATAAACTCCAATAGCACTTACACTGAATTCCCCTGAGAGGGGCGATTCCTTGAGGGCCAAACTATCTCTAAATCCTTTACAAACATTTTCTATCATTCAAGAAATTCTTGAACTTTAATGTACATTTGGCTTTTGCTATCAACTTGCCATTACTTTCTAAAAACACGAGTAATAAAAAATAAATATAAAAATAAAAATCCTTAAAAAGTGCCCATTTCAGCCTGATCCTATCTACTGAGGTGCATGCCATTTAAGGTATATTTATTTCATTTCATTTGATTTTTCTTGGGTTTTTCTGATTGTTTGTTGTCATGTGGTTAACGGCTCCCCCTGTCCGAAAAAGTCCTCCTTCTTGCAACTGAGTCTCTCTGCTGTTTTTAAAGAAACCTCATACTATATTATATACTTAAGAGAACAGTATATATCTATTTATATACATATATATTAACAAATACTCACATAATGAATGTAGTGAACTGAATATCTCAAACTTACAAAACCAGAACAGTGATCTGCAAAAAAGATGGCACTGTCAGTTAATTTTTAACAGACTGTTGTTTTTATTCTTTTGCTTTTAGTTTCACTTTACGCTGCTTGCATTGGAAACACTTTTCTGACGCTGGCGTGCGACAGTAGCCTTCAGTACTGTAAATGTCTCAGGATCGAGCCAATAGGATGGGCAGCAATATTTGTCAGTCGGAAAATGGCGCAGACTTAACTACCTGTACTAGATGTAATTTATAGACTTATATAAACAGTATATAAAATATATGTCGACTTGGTCAGCAGAGACCAAGTGTTATACCTCAATCTCAGAATAATGACTCCTTTCCGTGCCTCGTACTTTTATGTATACCTTACCTGGGAGCCTGGCGAAGGGATAGCCGATACTCTGGGAAATATAGTATCCTCCGCTGTTTCTTTTCTTTTATCTGTTCATTATTCTTTTCTTTGTTTCGCCTCTCTCTCTCTTGAGGGAGACGCTTCATGTGTCTGACTGACCAATATTTGCCACCCTACCTCTTTTCAGGTATTTTTTTGCAACAACAAACCTTTTAGATGTACGTAATGAGCAACAGATTGAGAAAAAGAAAGACCCACAGGGATTATACAGCCGTTCCTGTTCTTAGCACTGGATGGGGTTGGTATGTGGGGGCTAAAAGTCAAAACATTTTGGGATTCAGTTGTCTGGTTTCACCCTGGAGGCGATAAGTCAGGTCGGTCCCACCCTGGTCTGAGAAAGAACAAGGTGTTTTTGTTCATTGAGGGTTTTTTTTTCTTTCTTTCTTTCTTTTTTGGTTTATTGTGTGTTTTTAGGTGTAACATAACTCCAGGTTGAAACTTGACAGGGGGATTTTGTTTTAATTTCTCATACCCAGAGAAATCAGAGACCCAGAGGGGAGATTGGGGGACAGGTGGACAAGTTAACCTTCCTTTATCTGCTGTCTTGTAAAAGAAAAATATCAAAATCTTTTACACTGCATTCCAAAAACAAACACCCCTCACACAGGAAAATGTACCTTTTATATGATGAAAATGAAAAAGACCTATATACTTATGAATATATGTATTTATTTACTGTTTTTGCATCTTCAGGTAAGCCAATCTATTTCTCTTTTGCTTTTCAGGTTGGTTTTCATTTTATTTTATTTTTATGTTGAGAGTGAAAGACTGTCAAAAACGTGATGAAAGAAAAAAATGTCGAACAGCAACTACTGTAACCTCACTTAGTAGACGCCACATGACATGCCATTTTGTTTCAGGATGGTGTGTGATGATGTGGGCTACCAGGAAAGAAACTCCCATAATGTATATGATTGCCATGCTCCTCTCTGCAGAGAGGTTTCTTCTGTTTCTTTTTGTGTCACGCTGCATGTCTGGTTGTCATTTATACCTCAGGTCCGACCACTTCGAAGCAGCTGATTGTACATTAGAAACACACACACACAATGAAGAATCAGGATTTTTAGTACGGTTCGTTTCCAGATTTTTAGATGTAACCGACGGAAGCAGTTTTTGAATAATTGTCGTTTCTTGTTGTCGTCGTTCGTACTGTTGCTATTCTGATGACATCTTCTTTTCCTTTTGTTTTGTTTTCTTATAAGAAAGAAAAGACAAATTCTTTAAAAGCAAGAAGCCAGGTTTCTGTGAATACAATGCTGTATTCTTTCTAGCACATGCAGCCCTGGAAGAGCAGAACGCACACACACATATAGAGACATGACGCACCTACAGCAACATACACTCTCCCTCCTCATCAGGTAGCCACACTTTGTGTGGGCGGGTTATATGTATAATTATGAAGCTGGGAGTCGTTTTCTCTTTTAGAAGCAGGTGGGTGTGTTTTGTCCACAGCCTGCAGGACATCAGCCCTGCTGGCTGATTTTGATCTGGCACACTGGGACAATGCAGGCACTGCCTCTGTGAAAATCACTTTGTTTTGTTTCGTGCTTTCAACAAAGACTGCTTTTCGTCCTTTTTTTAATCAACCTACCAATCGTTTTGTTAAAGGAAAAATCCTTCCTCCAGTTATATTTTATGTTCTGTTCATTCCTGCAGTTATGTTTGTTATAATTTAAGTTTATCCTTTTTACATCCTTTCCTTCAACCTGCCGTCTGTTTCTGCTGCCGTCAGTGATTGCCCGCAGTTTTACAGTTTACTGTGAAGGCAGCCATGTCCTTTTGACAGTACAATTAGATTCATATTTTGGAGGTCTGTTTAAAAGGGACATTTTCTATATTATCTAGTTTAAAGAATGAAATCTCACATTCCGACCTGTGACCAAACAAAAAAATAAACTGCTCCCCTGTTATGTCTTGTGGCTGCATTGCATGCTGGTCCACTGAGGTTGCTGTGGCTTTAGAAATTCAACAATCAACACTACAAGCTAAAGAAATAGATGCAGGAATGCAAAGAACATCGCCAGTAGCTATATGTTTTGGGTCAGGTTTCCAGTCCAGAGACTTGGATTAAAGTTGTTTTCCAGTGTTTAGTCCAGGGCTAGGCTTAAATCCCCATCAGAGGAACTGTGTGTGTTTCTCGATGGATTTTTCTCTTAACTACATATCCAAGAAGACTGTCTATATCTATCCTACTCTGTGGTGCATTTAAAAAAAATAATAAGCAGAACAGACTGACAGTTGCGATTCTCCTCGTGTGTTGTAAGCTTCAACATGCTGTCATTTTTTTCCAGTTAAAATGTGCATCTCCTCTGTCGCGGAGTGCGATGCCAAGTGTTGTAAATGTCAAAGCATTTGTGAGGATGTGACAAGCAGTCGCTCAGTATCAGGCTGGCTTTGAAAGCAGAGCTGAGTACAGA